ATACATACAAGGAGTATTAAATATAGACTAAAAAATAACTAATTGCACAGTTTGCGACTAATTTGCGAGATGAATCTTTTAAGCCTAATTAGTCCATAATTTGACAATGTGGTGCTACAATAACACATGTGCTAATGAATGACGGATTAATTAGATTTAATAAATTCGTCTCACGGATTACTGACGGATTCTGTAATTTATGTTTTTATTAGTATCCGAACACCCCATGCGACACCCCATGTAACACCCGATGTGACACCTTAAAACTTTACACCCTGAATTTAAACAAGGCCTATGTTCATTTGCATTCATGCATATGAAAAAGTGGGGAAAATTGAACTTTTGATTAGAAGGCAAAGAGATAGAGGTTTCTCTTAACTTGGTGACTTAGGGTTAGATTATCAGGGAAAGTGCGGTGAATTTAGACATGATCATTACTTATTTTCAAACTTGGGAAACAATTTGCATTAGGAAATGTCGTCGTATTTTCAGTTTTCACGATATCAGCCATCGGGGATGGCAAAGTGAGATGAGAGAGGTGAGGCAAGCTACATGGAGTATCCACGAACGGGATTGGTGGCATGCGATGTACCCGGGTTTAGGCCCTCTTGGAGAAGGTAACACCCTAGTCCTGCTTGTGTGGTCTATTATGGATATGGTGATGATTATAGGGGGTGCATGAGCATGTGAGGGTGTGTGTGGTCTTCCAATGAACCGGGTGTCGCTTGGGGAGTCAGCCGTTCGGGTGACAATTTACAACATGTTCGGTTGGCTGGTTCGTTTCGTTGCTGGTTCGTGAAAAAGTACTGCTGGTTGGTTTGTGTGAGAGAAAAATACTGTTCCGACTAGAAATTTACGATCGTTTACGATAAGCCACAGCCTAGGGACCGGCCCAGTCAAGCCGGGTGGAGAAGTCAAACTGCCCGTCTGGGTGGCTACCTTGTGTTAGATTTGGCCTCCTCAAGGCAGTGAGATTATGTCATTGTCCTGGTCCATCATGGGCTTGGTGAGCCTTCTCTTGTGATTGGGTCTACCTATAAATGGTTCCGCCGACATTAGCCGCCGAGTCCGTCGAGGCTTTAATGTAGGTGCCAGCTCATGAGTCATCAGAGAGACTGTGGCCGGATCGCTAGTCCAAAAAACTTAATGTACTCCTGAATTTGAAAAGGTTAGGGCATGTTTAGTTCTAAAAAATTTCTCAAAAAGTGCTACAGTAGCTATTATATCGAATTTTGCGATACGTGCATGAAACATTAAATATAGACATAAAAAAAACTAATTGTACAGTTTTGTTGGAAATTGCGAGACGAACGTTTTGACTCTAATTAGTTCATAATTGAACGTTAATTATCAAATAAAAACGAAAACGCTACAGTAGCCAAATTTCTAAAATTCACGAACTAAACACAGCCTTAGGCCTTGTTTAGATTGTAAGTTTTTTCACTCTCTCCATCACATCAAATCTTTGGACATATACATGGAGTATTAAATGTAGATAAAAAATAATTAATTATACAGTTTGATTATAAATTACGAGACAAATCTTTTGAACCTAGTTAAGCTATGATTAGACAATAATTATCAAATACAAACAAAAATACTACAGTGTCAAATACTAATTTCTAACCTCAATCTAAATGAGACCTTATTATTGCTCTATTGATGTCATCTGCAACCTCCTAGTTCACGCCATCGGTTGACAGGTCAGTTTGACAAGACCGGATGCTTGGGATGTCACGCGTCTGCGGCCTCGTTTTTAGTTTCTCCCAAACTCACAACTTTAACACTATAAAAAAAAAGATTTTCCGTCACATCAAATTTATGGTACATGTATGAAATACTAAAAGTAGACGAAATTAAAAACTAATTGTACAGTTTGGTTGTACTTTGCGAGACGAATATTTTGAGCCTAATTAGTCAACGGTTGAACAATTATTATCAAATACAAACAAAATGTTACAGTGACGTTACGGTACATTTTGCCAACTTTACACATCCAAAGTTTGACAACTAAACAAGACCTGCCTCAGGAAAGTGTGTGCCATAGGTCCACGATGATGGTGCCTCGATTTGGCACAACATTTACTGCAGCAAAGGAGCATGTGTTTCTTTGGTACCAATCTATCCTTAATCAGCATGTTCGGTTGGTTGGTTCTTTTTCGTTGTTTGGTTCGTGAAGAAATCTTCATGCTATTGGTTTGTGTGAGAGAAAATATCTGTTCAACCGAAAATTTACGATCATTTACGATAACCCACAGCCAAACGAATAGCCTGTTCGTTTGGGAACAATCGACAGATAAAAAAGGGACAGAGGGAGTACTACGGATGCATGACGATTTAGGGTAGAAGGATGTGCCTGACTCTTCGTCTATAAAGACGAAGCTAGGGGGAAGAAAAAAAAATCATTTTCTCTTTCTTCTTCCTATTGACTTCTCTAACCCGTTCTCCCTCATCGACCCTTAGTGCCTGTTAAGTTCCTAAAATTTTGCAAAATTTTTCAAGATTTTTCATCACATCGAATCTTTAGACGTATGCATAAAGTATTAAATATAAATAAAAAATAAAACTAATTACACAGTTTAGACGAAATTCATGAGACGAATCTTTTAAGCCTAATTAGACTATGATTAGACACTAATTATCAAATAACAACAAAAATGCTATAGTACCGTTTTCTAAAAATATTCGAAACTAAACGAAGACCTTAGGATATAGCCAATGGCTGACGCAGAGGAGGTGAAGGGTTCACCGTGTAGCTCGGAGGTGAACATGTATTTTTTCCTGGAAAGAGCCAATTGCACAACACTTCGCGCTTGGAGTCCAAACGAGTTGGTGCACACGTATTTTTGTTGCCACCAGGGAACCATCCAAAACATGATGGCCTGCAGGCTTTTGTTCCATTTTCGTGAAATAAGTATATCTCAGAAAGAATCAGATGTTTGATTTTTTTTTTATCTGCAGGGTTGTCCCGGATGATGAACTATAAGGATGAGCAATATCTAACACTGGTGGCTGAGATCATTAGAGCAGCAGTCGTCCACTGTACAATGAGTGACTGTAAGTACCTCTTTGGTTAGCCTGGTGATTATGCCACAATTCTACATCATATATCTTAACAAAGTTTCTGCACAATGTATTTAATTTTGTAAATGAAACCGTCCAAATTTATAGCAGAGACTATAAGAAGCCAAAAAAGAAAAACTTACTACTTTCATGAAGAAGAAAAAGCATGGACTCGGTATTATGAAATTCTCTAAACTAATTGGACCTACCATCTTGATTCGGTACACATTAGTGAATCATGAGAAGTTATCCTCTTAGTCTTCAGTGTTTATTCTGGAACAGCTAGTGCTAGGGGGCATTCTTATATGGGATTCCTACAATAGTTATGTCATTTATCTGAATATAGTAGAAATGCTCATTTTGCTTTGTGAAACATAGTTGGTGAGAGCTACCACATTCTGCTGCGGGCGCTAGAGTGTTATACTTTTGTAAGATCTATCCCTGTTCGCTTGATCATTTCTGTGGCTTATAAGCTGACTGATGCTGTTTTGTTGTGAGAGAAAAACACTATATCATGACTGATAAGCATGACGGATACGATCAAGCGAACAGGGTGATATGGTGTTATGCTAATAGGCTTCTCAGTTCTACTGTTGATCGAACTCTCACAACTCTTGGATTAAACACTGGTTGCAGCCATTCTTCATTAAACCGCATATTGTCATCGCATTAAATGTTCAAACCAAAATGTTGTTAAAGAAAATAATCTGCAAAGTGAAAAAAAAACAGTTCATAAAACTACCACATGTATCAGTGTTCTGTAGTGTAACAGCAGTTTCCTTAATTTGAATCCATTGAAGTAACCGTATTTTTATCTGAACTACATCCGCGACTACCTCAACTACAAGTTCACGTTGCAGACGGGTCCATGATCGGTGTCATTAACCGCCATTCACTTGGACATAATGACCCTGGAACAGAAAAGGGCTATAGCCTATTCGCTTGCTCGTATATGATCGTGGATTATAAGCTGGAACAGTATTTTTCTCTCACACCAAACCAGCCAGCAGTAAATAATCCACGATCGTTTACGCCCTGCCGAATAGGCTGAAGGTAGGGGACTCCGCTGCTTCCTAATGGCTCCAAATCTCTGGAAAGCTGATCTTCACGGGTGGCTTGTCAATCCGATTAGATCTCCGCACCGAGAAACATTCATCCGGTGAAAACCTCTTCTGCTCAACAAGCTCCTTCCGAACCAAGACTAGCTGGCCGGATCTAGGATTGCTTGATGTAGACAGAACCCTAGGCTCAACTAGCGGCGGTGGGGAGTCGATGGCCCAAAGCTGGCCAAAAAACTCGAGGATGACTTCGTCCTCCCCAACCACCGATGAGTCCAATCGAGACCTGTGGCCCTGTTTCGCTTGCTCAAACTTAGCTGAAAATATCGTTATGCAATTATCGTGAGAGAAAAATATTATTCAAGCTGAAAAAACAAGCTGAATAGTGCGGATTACAAGGTACAGGCCAGGTACGGGCCAGCCTTACATACAAGGTACGGGCCAGCCTTACGAACGATCTCTCCCTTCTCGCTGATTGGTGGGTGGGTGCTCTCCTCTGGCGTGTGGAACCTTTCGCGCGCTGGGGCTTTGCGGTCAGCCAGGGTGGGTGCGGCCATGGAGGTGGGTCAAGGTCGGGGTCCTGTCACGACGTGGGAGCCATTGCCTTGTTAAATTTGTTTGGGGGGCAGGGGCGCCTGGGTGGGTTACCGAAGCAGGACGCTTCATCATGAAAATACACTACTGTGGCTAACCACGGATCACAGTGGAGGCAATTAAGCAGAAATGGGCGCTAGTTATAAGAGTGCAGTACATTTGACAAATAAAACCCATTTAGCACACAAGTTAAGCAGAACAGAACCCATTTACAACACAAAGTCAGGCAGCCCACTAACTATAGAGGTACACAATTTTCGGAAATAAAAAGAGAAATGACACACTTCAGGAAGAGGGTCGTGGTTCCTCCAGCTTCACAACAGGTTTGTTTGGGTGCTTGGCCAACTGTGTCTGAAGTTTTAGCTTTAGTGTTTCGGCGTTGGAACTGTTAAGTAGCAAGACTTGCTTGAGTTCTCCTAGATTCTCCAGGCCAGAGAACTGGTATGACGGTGACCCACCGCAGCAGTCTACCTCGAGAAGCTCAAGTTTCTCCATTGTGCTTGACCCAAAAGTCACGTGTAGGTTGCTGGAGCTGCAACCACAAGCAATCTGGAGGACCTTGACGTTTCGATAAGAATCGTCCTCCACATTATTCACAACAACGCGAAAACTGAGCTCTCTATCTTGGAGCTGCTTGACACGAAGAATAGATAGTTGTGGTAGCTCGCCAAGGAACTTCACGTCGATTCCTGTTAAAGTGTCCATCTCTAAATCCAGCTTTGCGAGCTTGCTAAGCTGGTTGCTCCCCCATTTTGGCAATGATTCTTCAAGCCCGTGCAGCTTAAGGCTCTTTAGGTTCTTGCATGGCAGAGAAATCATGTCCTCCAACTCCAAGCAACCTTGATTATGGTCCTTTTTGAAGCAACAACCCTGATTATTGTTCTTGTTGATCAGCACTGTCAAGGACTCCAGATGCACATGATCCTTTATTGCAGAGAAAAAATATTTACCGTTCTTTTTGTTGATGCCACACACTCCAAGCTTCCGAAGTTGGGTCAGCTTCTTCAGATCTTTCACAAAGGTCTTTGACCCTGAAGCAGCAACATCGACGACACCAAGTGTGTGCAACATCGTCAGGTTTCCAATCCCTCTAGGAACCTCAACACCGACTAGGACACCAGGTTTGCAGAACCAGCTGGATGAAATATGTGGTGGTGGTGCTGAAACCGGTACATCAGTGGTGCCGGCACGTATATACTGCAGCTTCTCTAACTTTCTGATATTCTCTGGCAGGGTAACTATGGAGGTGTGTCGGACATCCAAACTCTGGAGCTGTCTCAGATGATGCAGTGAACTTGGTAGACGGTGGATCTCACGGCGTCCTCGCAGTGAGAGGAACTTTAGGCGACGCAGCCATTTCACCATATTCTCTAGATCTTGGTGCTCAACACGGCCGGTTGCATCCTCCAGATCAAGCACCCTCAGCAGTTTCATGCTTTCAGAAATGAAGAATGATTTCCAGCTGCCAAATACTGTAAGCGACCGTAGCCGCGAGAAGTCAATGCTCTTGAACACAATACTGTCTCTGTCCCAATCTTTCAATATGACAAGATGACGCCCGGTCCGTTGGGTGGTTAGGGTGCAATTACAGCCGAGTTCAAAGACAAGGTTCTCTTCCATTCTCCGTTCGACAATGTACTCACGAATAAAGCCATTCACTTGGCACAAGACCATCCTCATGTCCGCTACTGCAGTATTTTCTTGTGACTGTTGGACTATGCTCAGATCAAGCAGTTCAGAGAACTGCTTCTCCCCATTGTGCTCTGCAGATTCTTCATCGTTATCCCTTGAGTATCCCTCTGCGATCCACCGCCTCACTAGTCTCCTTCGACGGACGACGTGCTCTCGAGGGAAAATCGACAGGTAGAAGATACATGGTTTGAGGGAATCGAGACAAGTACGGAAGTAATTATGCATCCAGGTAAACAGACCATGTAGAGTATCAAACACTCGGTTGTTTTCGAGGTCATTCATGAAATTACCATTGATAGAACGTGCACCTTCCATCCGTCCAGCTGACTTGGTGGCCAATGATCTGGCTATATCAACTATTACTTTGGGCAGTCCACCACACTTCGATATTAGTTCTCCTAGCTCCGCAGCTTCATTGCCAGTTATAGCAGGTAATTCATACTTTCTAGACAACTGTTCAAGACAATTATGATTACGTCAGATAGGATGCATGCTTAAACACAAATTACACAGATTCACGCACTCGAAGATAGTTTTAAAAAAATCAGTAGAACAGAGAACCCTGAAATCCTTTGCTGCTAGGTAGTGTTGACTGTTGAGTCCGTTGTTATTGTTTTATTATTTTGTTTTTCATAATTATTAGGGACATTCTACCTTGCAAGGATTCTTGGAAACTAATTTGGAATGAGCTCGAAGGAGTCCATGAAAACAAAGGAAAGTGATTTCTTACGAGAACAACATAAACACACCTCCTTTTTGAAGAGTTCAAAGGCTGCATCAGCTTGTAGACCTTTGACATTAAACACGAGCTCTCCCTTATTTCCCCGGCAACCTCTGGCGACACCAGCTTCAGTGGTAATGATGATGATACAGTTTTGAGAAGACCCAGATACCAATTCAGCTTGTATCATGTCCCATTCTTTCACGGACTGCAGACCATCAATGACGACGAGGCATTTGCACCGCTCCAGAATCCCACGACACTCTGCGATGGGGTTATTGCTTCCCACTGTATCAATATCACAGTCCATGTGGGCTTGAAGCTTATGGGAGTGAAAATTCAAAAGTAAACTCCGAGAGAAATCCCTCAAATTGAACGGATAGGATACATCCACCCAAGCATACTTTTCAAATTGGGTCTTCTTGAGTCGCTCATGGAGTTTGCTATCACGAAGAATTGTGTCGCAGAACAAAAATTTGAGGAGAGCAGATTTCCCAACACCAGCTATGCCCCACACGGACATAACATGGAACCCTTCAAAACGTGCCTTCGATGTATATTGGCGGAGATGAATCATTTCTGAATCGCGTCCAATGAGGGGATGCTCCGTCATCCAATCTTGGGCTTCTTTAATTTTATCAGTGGTCGTCTGCGCACCTTTCGCTCCTTGAGATATCTGAAAATAAGAACCAAAGCGGTCAGAGTGGAAACTATCAAACAAGTTGGGAACTTATGTTGGAGTAATACTTTGTTGTAGAGGTGAGAAGATCGATAGAAATCTTCTTTCCTAAAGAGGAATATTATATATACGTCTATCGTGACATGGATAACGGTGAAAGTGACACAAGTTTTTCTTGCCATGACCACTTTGCTTGAGACATGGATTGCCTCAGTACTGCTAGCGGGGCGGCTAACTGTGGTCGTCACTCGTCATCTCTTTCAGTTGGTTAACGTTCTTCTACTGGAGGTTGGCATACTTATGATACTATTTGCCCTTCTGGATTAAAGAAGAGTTATAATTTCTCTATGTAAAAACAGAACTTATGATACTGTGGCCATACTTATCATATGCCGATCAAGAAACCAAACCAATCAGTTAGATTCAGATCCTGATCCACCAAATGGTTTGGCTGTCTTGATTATTATTTAGGGAATGGTGGTACCTGCTTTTGTGGGCTCACGCCATTAGAGATGACCTTTTTTTTGAATCAAAATCATATAATTAATGAAGTCTTTTATTTTGCGGAAGAATCCTATATAACTAAATAGTGACCAGAGGCGAGGGTACTCCCCTTTTGAAAAAAAAAAACTAAATAGTGACATAACAAGACTAGATTGATTGTGCTTATTAATTGCTACAAGGAAACCTTCAATTTTCTGTTTCGGACTAGATTTATAATTATGGAGTATAACAAGACAAAGTATTAATCAAGGATTTTTTTTTTTGCGAAATTAATCAAGGAATTGAACGCCTGCATTGTTGATTGTGCTTATTAATTGGCGAGTAGCTGAAATTACCTGTTTGTAGAAGGCGTAAATGGTGTGGTCGACCGAAAACTGGTTAAGTTCCAATACATGGTAAGGATGTCCGACGGACAAGCTTGCAACTTCGGATTGCTGCTGCGTGGAGACGATGATGCAACTGCGATTCTTCCTTGAAGGAAAAAACTTGGTGATAGCATCCCAGTCTGCCATGCTGGACAGACCTTCCAAGACAACGAGGCACCTGTCGTTGCTGACTCGCCGCACAAACTCGTCGAGGTAATTGCTTTGGGTGGCTTCCGACGTCCTCTTCAGGACATCTACGCCTATGAGTTCTCCTTCTTGTTCCTTGCCCGCGTTTGCATAGAACTGAACCATCAAGCACCGGACGAACACATCGGGATCAAAAGGATGCATGAGCTTCACCCAAGCACGGCAGGTGCATTTCTGGCGGATTTCTTGATCATTGTATGCCTTCCAGATGATGGAAGTGACACCAAGATCGCCACCAGTACCCCACACAGAGATCACACGGATCTTGTCATCGGCGAGCAGCTGGCTGAGATCTCCTTGCTGCTGCCTTTTCCCGGTACCGATGAGCATGCTGACCGCTGCTGTTGCGGGCGGCGGCTGCTGCTGCTGCACGACGACGGGCTTAGAACCGGTGTCGCTGATGAGGCTGTAGCGGGCGTTCCTGGTGCTCACGTCCTCCACCCTCGCCTTGAGCTGCTCAATCTCGTCCACCGCCTCATCCAGCGGCAGTGACGTTGATATGCACCCGGGGATCATTCGCCACCAACAGCTGCTCTTCTTGTCGAGGTGGACGACGAACTCGATGCAATCTTCGACGTCGTAGGCCAGTTCGCGGATCTGCCTCACCCATGTCATCACCACCGGGTTCTCCACACGCTCCGTGTTGGCCACCTTCAGGAAGGACTGCATCATTTGGAACTCCCCGGTGATGAACACAAGGTCACGCTGCGCGCTGTCACGCAGCTTCGCCTCCTCCGCGATCGCCGCCTGGGCCTTGCTCAGTGTCCCCTCGACCACCGATTTGGCTAAACCAACAGCAAGCTCCGCCATGGCTACCTCCGCTTTTCCTCTTAGGACCCGCTTCCGAATCAATCTGGTTAATTGGGGTGTGTGTTTTTCTTGTCTAGCTAGCGAGTGCTGGAGTGAGCATCCACTGCAGACTGCACATGGGATTCTTACAGGTAGGGATGAAAACGGACGGGATACGAACGGATATCACTGATATTATATTTGTTTTCATATTTCTAGTCGGATTTGGATTCGAATACGGATAGTATCAGCCGTGCCAGATAGGGTACGATTAGATGTCGACATCATAAATATGCGATTTGAGTATTCGGGACACGGATACGGATCGGATGTTGAATATCCGGACTTCCGGATATGGGCGAGATCTGAACCCTCTAAACGGATTCGGACTCGAATACGGTCGAAAAATATCCGTACCGTTTTCACCCCTACTTACAAGTAGGTAGTCAAAGAAATCAATGAGTAAAATTAAAATAGTTTTTCAAGGGGAGAGAGGACGCGTCGTTCGTGGCTTTTTTCTACGGGGCCGTGCGTGCATGAGGTACAGCTGCCATGCCATCAATCCATGCTTCCTCCTCTCAACCAATTAGAATGAAGCACAATGATGCACCTCCCTCCAATCAACCAATCAAGTTGAAGCACACGGACTGTGTGTTTCTTTGGTTGTGGCGTGTGCAGATCTGAACGTTGATTGAGGGCGGTTAAGGTGCGTTTAGTTCGCGAAATGAAAATTTTTGGATGTCACATTGGATGTTTCGAGAATTTTGAAGGGTTTTCGGATACTAATAAAAAAATAATTATATAGCTCGTCTGAAAACTACGAGATAAATTTATTAAGCCTAATTAATTTATCATTAACGCATGTTAGTTACTGTATCACTTATGGCTCATCATGGACTAATTAGTCTTAAAACATTCATCTCGCGATTTCCAATTCAACTATGCAATTAGTTTTTTTCATCTATATTTAATACTCCATACATGTGCCGCAAGATTTAATATGATAGTTTGGTGTGAAAATTTTTGAGAACTAAGTCCATCTTCGTCCCATGGGATTCTGGTATATATTAAGGGCATTTTTGGTTCCATGTACAAAAATGCCCAGTCCGAGGCGCATCTTCAATTATTTATGTACAGATCGATCCAAAGACTTAGCTGGCGCATCTCGATCCGTATATGTGTGCACCGGCAGCAAGCTTGGAAACCATTCATCTAAGAGCCTCTGAAGTGTTCGTTCTTCCCAACCAGGATCCTTAATTCAAGTCTAAATCCCTGGCAAGGTTAGTAATTCTAACTAATATACGGTAGTTTTTTTCAGACGCTCGTGCCTGTATTTTTTATGTGTGTACACCGGCAGCAAAGCTGGGAAAAATCATCCCAGAGGATCAGCCCCCTTTTCCATTCTTCTCTTCCCACTTAACAGAAGCTTGCTATCTAACAATCATGCCTGTCTTTCGCTTATCTTTATGCATATTCTCGCCTCTTGCTTTGGAGAATGATGAGCTAATTGTAGCAGTTTTCGTAGCTTGTACCTGCAACTAGCTCACAGCTTAATTAACACTTATCAGAAAATGGCAACTATTGATAGCCTTCGGGGCAAGGAACTGCCCTTCGACTTCTTGGAGAAAATTACGGACGATTTCTCCGAAGAGCGAGTACTTGGTTCAGGTCCACTTAGAACAACGGTTTATAAGGTATAATTCTGCATGCCGGCCATGTACAATGGGGAGTGCTTAGAGAGGTGCTTACAAAATAAACCAGGCTTTTTCTTAAGCACCAATGCTTATTTCAATAGGAGAGGTGCCTAGTTAAGCATCTTTCTTGTATAAATAAGCAATAGTGCTTAACCAAAAACTTTATTTTTTCTAAACATCTCACTAAGCACCTTGCATTGTAGATGCCCTTAGTAGCATTCCTTGTCTGTTCAAAGGTTAATAAACCAAATGGCGCTGTAAATCAAAACAGGCAGTCCTGGAAGATGGCGAGATTGCTGTGAAGAGACATGTGGGGAACGCGCCAGGGACACGTAACAAGGAAGCGTACCGTACTAACGTTCACAGTATTATGAAGCACAGACATGAAAATGTAGTGGAGTTGCTTGCATTCTGCCTCGAGGAACAATATGACGCATTGGTGTGGGTTGGTAACAGATATGTTACCAAAGACGTCGTTGTCGAAAGTTTATTCTGCTATGAATATTTTCCCAATGGAAGCCTGCATCACAGCCTTTTTGGTATGTGCTCAAAGTTTCTCTTATAGTTTCTCTTATAGTTTCTCTTAAGAGTGCTCAAAGTGCACCCATGGATAGTCCCTCAACTTGTGCATAGGTGTAGATCCATGCACAAATAGCCCTGAAAATCCACTTTGGCTCACAAATAGCACCCAGGCACAAATAGCCCTGAAAATCCACTTTGGCTCATAGGTGTAGATGCACCCATTGCCTAAAAATCCTATTTGAAAATTTATAAAAATTCTGAAAAAAAATCCGGGTGAACATCTAGACATTATATGTTTGCACACAAAGTTTCATAAAAAATGACATGTTTTGTGGCCTGTGTAAAAAAGAAAATTCACAAAAAATGTTTTTTTCACTTAAAACTTTGTTTGCGAACATAGAATGTTCGGATGCACACCTAGGAATCTTTTTCCCGGAAATTTTTGACATTTTAAAATGCATTTTCATAATAGGTGCATCTAGACCTATGAGGCAAAACACCACGTCCAAATAGCCCCATAAACTTACCGTGTTCCCTGCCATCCTCGCTAAGTTAGTAAAGCTCTTTCCCGGCATCTCCTGGGATGATATGCAATTGTTTTTCTTGTTACTAAAGTTTATGTTTTATTGACATCTTGTGTGGCGTATATACTTATATTCTAAGAAACAAATATCCTACCGGAAGTGATTCTCTTAGAGAAATTATGTAATTCAAGTATTTACTTTTTCAGTTGAAAAGGTCAACATAGATTGGAGCACTCGTTTCAAAATTATCCAAGGCATCTGTCAGGGTCTAAAGTTTCTACATACGCTGCCTCAGCCCATTATCCATTTGAATCTCAAGCCTCAAAATATAATGTTGGGCCGCAATATGGCCCTGAAGATTGCGGATTTTGGATACTCCAGAATCGTTAATCCAGAACAATCCTGAATCAACACAGAAAGTTCTGTGGGATCAGTGTAAGCTACTCACTAACTTTATGATGGTCTCAGATTATTGCTTCATTAATAAAGATGTACATAAGTTTTTTTGGCACATCCATTAATGCTTATGGTACTCCACATGTTAATGTCATTCAGAGGATACATGGCTCCAGAGTATCTATTCAAGGAAGTAAATGAAATCTCGACCCGGTTTGACATATATAGTTTGGGACTAATCATAATCGAGATCACCACAAGAGAGGAGAATTGTGCCGGCATTGACCAAGATTCTGCAAGGGAATTTATTAATAAAGTAAGTGGAAATGTCACTCGAATTTGTGAAGATTTCAATTTAGAAAGATTCATTTAGATCTGTTTTTTACATTGTCATCAAAGCGCATTAATCAGTACCTCCAACATTGTACGCAGGTGAGAAAAAATTGTAAAGATACAGTTCTCATGATGTCAGAATACCAAGGATTAGACGAAGCTCATCTCCAGCAACAAATCGCTTGCATCAAAGTTGGTCTACGATGTGTGGACCTTGATCAGAATGTGAGACCTAAAATAGTAGACATTGTCAACGAGCTCAATGCACTGTGGTAGACAGTTCTCCAATGTCTGGCGATCACCAAGTTTTGAAGGAGAGATATCGAAGATGAAAAAGAAAAAGCTTTGGCCAGCACCAAGCTAATTGCTACATGACCTAAACTTTATTTTGGGAATAAGATCCTTTGACGCCATATCGTTGCTGAAACATTTGAAGTTATATATTTTCTTTGGAACTCTATTATATGTAATCGTTCGAGCTGCAACAATTTATATATTTACTTTGGACTATTTTTTTCTCTCATGTACGTACATGTTAGATAGAAATAAGAGCATCCGCATGACCGCGTCCCACCGCCTATTAATCCTGTGCTATAGTGGATAAATCTTTTTCTATCCTTAGCACCCAAGTGCATAATCTAGTATTAGAGTCGGCTGTTGGACTTGGTTTTCGCTGAAAAGTATAAACCGACCAAGGATTCGTCACCTGTTATGGTTATAGATTGAAAACTGCATCTGAACAAAATCTAGCTGCACTAATAACATACTGGAGTACGATTAAAATGTAAACCAACTCCACCGAGCTCTCAGTCGGTTTTAATTCAGAATTGATGTGAACGTTGTAATCTCGCAGTTGGTTTTGCACTAGAAACCGACGATGGGTGCTCGCTGGTTCATCTTCTTAGTTCTTCTTCCCCTCTAGCTTCGCAACCTTGAGCTGATCATCTCCCGTCTTCTGGTCGCCAGCTCCGTTGACTTGGACTGGTTGCTGCTTCTTTAGCTCTCCATCTCCGGCTTTCGCCGGCGGTGAGGCCATCATCGTGGTCGCTGCTTCCGGAGAAGCACCGAAAGGCCGGGCGGGGCTGCCGATCCCGAGCTGAGCCATCGCTTGCTGGTTGTTCTGAATGTTCGAGTTAGGCCTGCGTGAGTGAAGCTAGTGCTGCTGATGCAGGGGTATCAGTAGTTTACTAGTTTATCAACCCGTAAGTATTAGGTATTGTTTAATAATCTTTTCGTTTTAAATTATAAGACGTTGATATATTGTTTTACTATGTATCTAGATAAGATCTAAGTGTATAACAAAACTTATATATTTATTAGAAAACCTAAGACGTCTTATAATTTGTAACAGATGGAGTATATCTAATTAATAAAGAATTACTTATATTAAACTGTATGTTTTTTCTCTTTGTTTATTTTCTAACTTAATATACATAGTAGATACTCAATAGTCTTATCTAGTTATCATAAACTTATTAACTACTATTTTTTCAAGGAACTAATCTATATATATTTTTTAACCATATTCATATTTTCCTCTGCATGGCACCTCTATATATTTTAAATATGCAATTACTTTGAAATCTTATCACTAATCATGGTGGCTCTTGTTGTATCATGTATCTGATGAAGCCATGAATCTAAATTTTGAATTTTCAAATTTTATTCTTATCAATCGCCATGGATTTTTTTATCTCCTCAAGTTACGTTGAAACTCTTGCTCTTATTGTATCTTTCATTAACTCTTCTTTTTGCACTTTTTAAAATAAGGATTTTAGGCCATAGAGTATGTTCTTAAGTACTACAATAGCATAAGCCATTATTTGAAACATCTACCATATCACTTAAGATAAGTCATAGAGCTTGATGTGAGATCTCAAACAGGAATAGCTATGCTAACCTCAAGAGAATTTTAATACTTACACCTTATAATGATCGACTCTTTACTCTAAAGTATTCTTAAAAGACTAGGAAAATATAACCACCACTGGTCTCTACTTCTAAAGATGATTGAATTTTCGTATCAAGGAATTATATTTGCAGTTATGGTTATACTATCAATATGGACATGTCAAATATTTTAGTTAAAAGACACAAATATATCTAAAGTAACAATTTATATAAATTATAGTCATGGTTATATGGTTTTAAATAATTTGTTAGTATCGTTAGCATATGTGTTGTTAAAAAAATATTTTTATGTGATAAAACATAACATATATATTTTGTTGCTCATGTATGTTGGCACGACGCATATATTTACTTTAATCAAATCTTACTATATTAATATTGATAGAGGTGGGGTAATGTAGAAACATATTGTTCTTTTCGTTATCTAAATAATTTTTTGTAATAGGAGAAGTTGATAATTTAGATTTAGATTTGAGGGGTATTTATTTTTCTAATAATGAGATGAAAGTTGAATTATGTAAATTATCGATCACAATAATAGGACATGGGTACTTAAATGTGAATCTAGGTCTACTTTAGATCATTTTTCTTAAGGACAGATATGGACAATATAAATTAGAGTCATGAGTTAGTTTATATTGTTTTACACAATAGCACAAGTGGATAATTATTTAGAAAAATAGAATAGATCAATAGCTATTATTATTATTATCAATTGTGATTACCTAATTAATCATAAGATGTTTCTGATTTTTATGAGAATTTCTAGGATCCATCTTTTGTTTTCCTATAAGTCTTGTGATGATTAACATGCAAGCTTCGGTGGGACCTCTAGTTAGAATTTCTAGTATTTGTCTTTGTTTCCTAGTGTAATATGTACTTAGTCGAAATCTAGTCTTAAGATATATAAACTCTTGATGCAATCTTTTTGTGAATTAGTAAATCTATAGTTTATCTTTTGAATTTTAATCAAGTTGTTGCAATTTTCTCACATGTTAATTAGAATTCTAGTATTCTTTATCTTTTATTCAAAATTGATTTTTTATGAAAAAGAGTCTAGGTCTTAGAATTCTCGTATTCTTTATCGTTTATTCCACAATTGCTTTATTTATTAAAAAAGTCTAGGTCCTAGTTGTATTGTTTTTCACATAAGTGAAACTCGGCTTGCATCCCGACACCAAACATGTTGAATTTGTTATATCATAGGACTAATTGTGTGTAGTATTATTTATGTATCATAGTGTGCATAAAATTAAATTAATAATATTGATATGACATAATGTTTTAGTAAAAATATATAAACTCATTTAAAATAATAATTTATGAAATTTATTATCATGGAGTATAAATATAAAGTGTTATTGCGACGTGGTTTGTTAAGTGAACATTTTTCCCATGTTTCATAAGTTGTTAAAATAATTATTTATCCTAATGTATACATGTTTATTTGATATACATGGTGGAATTTAGCATTGTAATTATTTTATTTCATGATTATAGACGTCTGTGAATTAGAAATATGTATATATGTATTGTACTTTATGGATATTGTTTTATTTTTTAGTAATATATATTAGTATTTAAGTGTAGATTTCAGAGATTTTTGTTTATTTTTTATAATGACTAAGGTACCTACAAATATAAAGATAATACCTTATATTATCTTTCACAATGACATATGTGTATATGTTAAATAAAAACTTAGAATATTACTTTGCATTATCTTTCATAATGATAAAGGTCAATATTTATAAAATCATTATGAGTTATTTTAAATTATCTTTCATAAAGGTATATGTGGGTAATTTACATACAAAGTTCGAGGATTAAATTATCTTTCGTAATGACAAAGTTAGGTAATTTACACGCAATGTTAGGAGGTTATTTTAAATTGTTTCATAATGATCAAGGTGGATAACTTAGATGCAAACTTAGGGGGTTATTTTGAATTATCTTTTGTAATGACAGAGGTGGGTAATTTACATGCAAAATTAGGGGATACTTTATGTATTTTTTATAATGGCAATGGTAGGTAAATTTTTAATAAACTACAGATCCAATGGCCATTATTGATGATGATGATTAGAGCCTGCCAAATCAAAGGCTAGATGTTTCAAATTATCGTGGGAATTTCTATGATTTATTTTTTTTCCTAGCGTGCCTAATGAGAATTAATGTGATGTCTTCGTTGGGGTCTCTAATTAGTAATAGTAAGATAGTCCAATTTACAGTGGAGTTGCTGACATTTCCTTGTGCTGATGAAGGATGTTCGTGGAGATTTTGGGATAGATGGGGAGCACGCACGCACGCAGGCTTCAAGTGGAATCCTACTCCCACGCACTGCTGACTGCTGATGCTGCTGTATTCCTTCGGCACGGCCAAAGTCAAACCGACTTGTGAGCTACGGTAGAAAGGAATACTAGGAGTATTTTGCATGCGAGGAATGAGATGAGGAAATTTCTTCGAAGTTCACGAAAAGAAAATGACCGCGTAGAGATTGCAACATAGTACTCCTTCGCTCTCTGTAGTGTCTAGCATGATGAATTAATCATTTGTGCGGACGTTCAAATTTGCAGCGACAAATCAAATTCGGGCTACTCCACATACCCATGCACAGAAGCCAGAATCCAGGGCCCGCCGCACTTCAAAAAACAATTAAAAAAAGAACATCTAAAATTTGATTTCATAATAATAATACTACGTCACATACAGATATGCTAGTACAACAAAAAATAGTGGTTGTGAAATTTGAACAGGAGTAACGCAGTAAAGAAATCTCACAATACGGCTGAGATCTTGCCGAATGAAACCGTGAGATAGACAGATACAATAACTAAACCAAAGCAAAGTACTATCTTACTACATTACAAGGCGGATGACATTTCGCTCGGTTTAGGAAAGAATGCAATTCTCATTTTTTGAGAAGTTAAAGAATTTAAACTTTGATTAAATTTATATAAAAAAGTACTAATATTTATAATACAAAATAAGTATTATTAGATTAGTTTTAGAACATATTTTTATAAAAAAAATTATTTAGAGACATAAATATTAATACTATTTACTATAAATTTGATCAAACTTAAATCTATTTAATTGGCACGGATCTTCTAATTACGTTGTTTTTGAACGGAGTTAGTACTTTAGTAGCACGTGCCATGTGTCACACAGTGGCAGGTTAACGAACCCACTGCACGAGTGGTCGTTTTCACCTGACAGCGCCGTCCGTCCTCGATCATCTCCTCTACGGCTCTACCACGATGCCACGACACGAGAAAGTTCCTCTCTCTCGTTTATTTCCGCCACACCACTCGATAAATAAATAAACTATTTTAGCACGTGTTTAGTTGAAGTCCAAAATCTAAAAAAGTGCTATAGTATCTGTCACATCGAATATTTGCGGTCCATGCATGGAGCATTAAATGTAGACGAAAAAAAAAACTAATTATACAGTTTGGTGGGAAATTGCGAGACGAACGTTTTGAGCCTAATTAGTTCATATTTGAATACTAATTGCCAAATAAAAACGAAGGTACAGTAGCCCCAAATTTTAAATTCCTAGAACTAAACAAGGGCTTAGTAGCAGTATCTAGCAAAGCCTCCAAATTAAAGTTTGACCGTGGACGCCGCCGACCTGAGCATCTACCTAGTCAAGTCAAAGCAAGGGAGTAGAAACCTTGGCAACGAAGGCAGCGTCAGCATCATATCCGCAAGCTGATGGAGCAAGACCAATACAAGCCAAGAGACTCGTTCACTCACCGTCTCAACCCCGGCCTTCTTGGTAAGCAATCGGGAGGTGATCCAGAGGCTAAGCAGCGGCAGCAGAAGCGGGCGGCAAGTGAGGAGAAGATGAACAAGGGAGGCGAGCAGGGAGCAGCAGCAGGGGTTAAGGACAAGGAGAGGAGGAAGAGACGGGATGGTGACAAGGCTCCACCGATCGTTGTGCATCAGTTCCCCTTCCACTCTCGCACCGGCTTGCTCTGAATTCCTCGATTGAATTATTAATTACTCCTCTTGGTTTTTTTGTAGTAATTCTGTAATTAGTCGCGATCTCTGAATTCCTCGATTGAGTGATTACTCCTCTTGGTGTGTTTTTGTTTTGTTTTGTAATTCTGTAATTATTCGCGATCTCGGGTGTTATCCATTGAGATATATATAAGAAACACTCAATTTCCCAACACCATTTGCAGCTAAATATTATACTCTGCTCTAGTCAGAACGGAAGACAAAATGCGTTCTTCACTGCTTCTGTATAACTCAACCTTCAGTGCTTGCGTTCCATTTCTAAATATTGTGACATGCGTGGCTATGATTTATTGATTTCTAATTCATGATAATAAGTATGTATTTAATTTCGGCCAAAAGAGCTCCTTTCTGCCTGCCCAAATTGCAGATTCTACATCGTATTACTGCTACTTGCTACATAACCTTGCATTGATCAACTAGAAATTGAAAACTGTAAGAGATCTGCACAAGGTGACAACTGACAACCCCAAACAAGGTCCTTAGAAGCTCTAAAGGGATCTTGTTTATTGCCTGGCGCCGTTCAAAGGAACACACTAGTACTTCCACCATACTTCAGATAAAATTCTACGGATTTACAGACAAACAGAATCAAACACAACCAAAGCAGCATCACCGCAAGTGGTGAACCACAACACATTGGTAGACTGAATGAAACTCATAGTGGTACCAGACCATATATTACGCCGAGAAGTTCGCGAGACTCTGATGCCCATAGATAATTACAGACACTGGAAGTGCAAGCTACTCTACTGATTGACAAGGCCAAACTGGACGTGATACACACAAGCGTGGCTCCACATCCACGGAGGACACTGGCCCCTTTATTAACCCAACCCAGACCAGACAACCAGGAAAAAGCAATCTAGTTCTCCATGCGGATGATGCAGCGGATGCCCTCCCCCTTGGCCATCAGGTCGAAGGCCTTGTTGATCTCTGCGAACGGCACGCTGTGCGTGATGAACTTCTCCACCTCCAGCTCCTGTGCGCACAAACAGGCAGAGTTGTAGCATGAGCAAGCGGACGTTTGGGAGCATAGCAATTTCAGCAAAGCACAAGTAACAAGGCTACCGAAGAAATACCACACTTTGATTGCATTTACCTTCTTCATGTAAAGCTCAACCACATTGGGCAGGTCAGTGCGTGGTTTGTAGTTGCCGAAGAAGGTTCCCTTCAGGGTCCTCTCGTTCAGGAAGTTCATTGGGTGTGTCTTGAATTCAGCGTCCTTGTGTGGCACACCCACCAGCACAGCAACACCCCAGCCCTGGATTTATAGAGTAGAGCTGTTAAAGTTCAATCTAAAAAGAACAGATTGCCACTGACAGCAGGAAAAGACAATGTTTATTCAGGCCTTACATCATGAACACATTCAAATGCCTGGATCATAGCGTTGATGTTACCAGTGCACTCCACACTACGGTCAACTCCTCCATTGGTCATCTCAGCAAGTACCTAAAGCATCAGCAAATTGGGTATTATGGTAAAGTTCTGCATAAGCTGTCACAGGTTGGCTCAGGTAAAGAAACAGACCTCCTGCACTGGCTTGTTGTGGTCTTTTGGGTTCACAAACTCAGTGCAACCAAACTTCTTAGCTGAAAATGGATAAATAGATGAGCTTACTGACTTACCAAAACCAACACAATAAAATGAGGATTCAGTTCAATCAAAGGGATACCTTCTTCGAATCTGTTGGCGTTCAGGTCAACACCAATGATCCTTGATGCTCCAGCAATCCTTGCACCTTCTGCAGCCTACTCATGCAAATATGCAGGGTAATCAGATGCAACCCCAACAAACATTAGAGTTGAAAGGCACAGGATAACAGAAAAAAATCCAACACTTACAGCAAGGCCAACAGCTCCTAGACCAAAAATAGCGACTGTTGAACCCTTTGGCGGTTTTGCAACATTGATTGATGCACCAAGACCTTCAGAATGAAATTTGGTAAGCCATCCAGCGTCATCAGATATATATCCTCAAACATGCATACCCGAATGTAATAAATCAACTTACCAGTAGAAATACCACAGCTAAGAACGCAAACTTTATCCAGGGGAGCCTCAGGGTTGATCTTTGCAACACTACCAACATGCATGACAGTGTACTCACTGAAGGTGGAAGTCCCAGTAAAATGGTAGATAGGCTTCCCATTGATGGAAAACCGTGATTTGCCATCACCAATCATCACACCCCGGTCAGTGTTGATCCTGAGCAGATCACACATGTTGCTCTCTGCCGACTTGCAGTGGGCACACTCCTTGCACTCCCCAGTGAATACCGGCAGGACATGGTCACCAGGGGCAACGTCAGTAACACCCTCTCCAACACTTTCCACAATGCTGTGTAACATGAAGAAATTTCAGGAGTTTGACTCGGATCCAAAAAGATTACACATCACTGTACACATCACTGTACTTACAGAATAAATTGATGATGGAAATTGGTGTAAGTCAAATAAATGTGAATGTGTTTAGAAAAGACTAAACTAATTTGCTGCTGAAATAATCATAAATCTATGGAAGTCTACTGCCGGGAGGTCAAAATCATTGTTATAACATTCAACAACACAAACTATTTCTTATTACTCTGGCCACATGTTCTCCAGAGTCCCCGCAACATAACAGATTGCTCTGTATCCAATATATCAATAAACAATGACCACCATCGATAAGGTAACTACAATACGAGCAAGAGACCATAAAACTCAACTTAAAAATCCACAGATTGCAAGAAAATGAAGTGGATCAGGGAAGATAACGTACCCTCCAGCCTCATGACCGAAGATCCGAGGGAACACGGGTGTCTGCCCCTAATAAAGATAAGCCCCCAAGAAGGCACAAGTCAGCTGCGAGTTGCTTCATGAAGCATATGTACTGACAAGATAGGAACGGGGTGACAGAGTGGATACCTTGGCCTCCCAGAAGTAGACGTCAGTGTGGCAGAGCGAGGTGAAGAGTATCTTGACGCGCACCTCCATGGCCTGCGGCGGGGCCACCTCCACCTCCTCGATCGACAGCGGCTTGCCGGCCTCCCATGCCACCGCGGCTACAGGGGTCCAAGAAAATCACCCGCAGAAAAGCACACACTCAGTTTAGTCCGATATTCTAGTCTAGCAAGAAAAATTAGCTCATTGCAAGTTGCAGCATTCATAGATCATGGCACAACAGTACCACGACGAACTACTTCCAATCTCACATTAGAAAAAAAATCATAGCATTTTATATGGGGTAAAAGGACAGACAAGAAAAGAAGCACCCCCTGGTTGCAGTCTAGCACTACAAGATGTCAAGATCAACGCCACTGTTCATAAAAAAAAAAGAAACAACATCATCCCCACCCAACAGCATCCAATCTTCACTAGAATTGCAAATTGCTCCCGAAACATAGACAGAAAATTGGACAGATCGAGATAGAGCGAGGAGCAA